TTTTCTAATTCAATAAGCTCTAGCTGTAATTTCTTTTCAGTAACCATATCCCCTAAATCACCTCCAGTCAGAGTCACAACTTGTTGTCTTTCTAGTTGTTCTATCTTTTCAACAACTTTCAGAAATATTAGAATAACATCTTTGATTTAGAGCTTTCAACACAGGCTTCAACCTTTTTAATTTATAAAACAAAGCTTGCATAGGGTCTCCCTTGACAACCTCAGCCCAAGACTTCTCAACAACCTCCTTAAAATCAGGGTGCAAGACTAAAAAGGTTTTAGCCTTGAAGCAAGGCTCTCATGGGAATACCAAGCAACTGCAATGCAATGGTCAGATACACCAAGAGGTTGAAATTCCACATGAGAATTTGAAAATACCTCACACTATTGATCATTCACTAACAATCTATCCAATATCCTAGATAAAAAAAACCCTCTTTTTGCTTATTTGACCAAGTTATTTGACCAAGTATTAACATGTCCAAAAATGGATAGTCTACTAACCCTAGATTTCTCATACAGCTCTGCAAATCTTCTATATTTGAAGTGCCCATCCTCAAAGTTAGAGCTTTCAACAGCATCAGCAATAATATTAAATTCCCCCCAATAAGCCAAACATTACTGCCAACCAAAGAACTAACATCAGAAAGCTGGTTCCAGAGCTCCTTCCTTATAATACCACTATTGCTGCCATATACAACAGAAACAACAACATTTTTACCACCTAAATTGCTATGAATAGTAGTAGACTTATCAGCCACTTCCAGCACAGAAAATTACAATCCCTTCTTCCACAAAATCCAGATCTTACCATTTTCCAGACAACTATAATTCCAGCAATAATTACACTCATTCATAAATTGAGCAACAATATCCTGGGCCCTATGCTCTCTAACTCTAGTTTCAAACAGACAAAGGATCTCAACATGCATCTTCTCTACACGAATCATAACACTTTTTTATTTTTTAGGATGATTAAATCCCCTTACATTCCAAATTATCACAGTTATGAGATAGAAGGAATAATTGTACCTCCCACTTGCTCACTAGGCCTCTTTGTCTTATCAAGTTGATCTTTCTTCTTAACCTTTATTTCATGTAGTATATTAGCAACACCTTGAGAAGCAAGCCTAGGTTTCCTTCCCACCTTCTCAGCCTCTTCCAATAAAGACCTCAATACTTCAAATTATTAGAAGGACCAACAATAGACCCCTTCTCTTTTTCACCTTTTTCCCCTACCTCTTCGATGAGATAGAGGATCTAAAGGTAGTAAATCACCAAGCTTAGATCAACTTTTTCCACACAGCCACTTGTAACATCCTCACCGGGTTAGTGACCAATTATAAAGTTTCAGAAATTGATGATTAAGTAGGATAATTGAATAGTTCAATGATTTATTGGAAAAATGATGAAGGTTATTTTAGTAATTATTGAATGAATTAAAGGGTAAAATGGTCAATTGACAAGTAAGATTTTTATATTCCTTTTAAGATAAGAACCACGTGGGAAATGAGAGAATTCCAGAGTTTTCTTTCTTCTTCTTCCTCCTCCTCCCATATCTCCAAGCTCAAAGGTGAGTTTTTTTGTTTATGGATTAATTGTTGATTTTAAGGTTGGGTTTTGATTATTAGATGATAACTAAGATTAAAGAAAGCTTAAGTTATCTTAAAATCAAATATGATGGAGTTAGGAGGGATTAAAGATTTGAGGTTCTTGGGTGAAATCTTGAAATAGTTCATAACTAGAGTTGGAAGTTAAATTTGACTTGTCAAGGGTCTAATTAAGAAGTTAGAAGCCATAGAATTGGAATCAAAACATATTGCAAAGTTGGTTTAATTCTTGAGTTACATGGAAATAAATTTTAAAGTTAAAGATGGTTTATATGAATATAAATTGGTTTAAGCATGTGTATTTGAGTTGAGAACATGAAAGGGGATGAAAGATAAAGCATTTGAGTTGATTTGAGTAGATTTTCGGGCTTAAAAATGAATTATGGGCTATGTGCATCGGTGCAATTCAATGTGCACCGATGCATCAAGGGTAAATCTCCAGAAATTGTTCAGTGTGTATCGATGCACATGAAGTGCATCGATGCACCTCTTAAAAATGGAAACATCGAATGTAATTAGTGCATTGATGCACCTCTTAAAAATGGAAACATCGAAGGTGATTTGTGTATCGATGCATGGGTAGTGCATCGATACACTTCAAGGGAAATAGAATTATACCTTTCATTTGGTCTAAGAAATGATAGATTAGAGTATATTAATTGGATACTAATATGTATCAATGTATGATTATGTAGATATCGAACGCGAATAAGTTCCGGTATGATCATCAAGTTAAGATTCGATCGAAAGAGAGGAAATCATAAAAGTGGATCAAAACTTAGTGAAGCCAAGGTGAGTGCATATTCGATAGTATATGATGGTTGATGGAATACTTGCGACAAGTCTATTTCCTATAGTGTTGCATATGAATTTAGAATAACTTGTGTTTAATAGGGGTGTGTGTATAAGTGTATGCTTGTTTTTATGAATTGATTTGTTCTTGTATGTGCTATGTGATTTATTTAAAGACACTATTAAGTGATGATAAGAGAATATAAAATAAGTTAAGATAAATGAGTATAAAGGATAAGTTAAGTGATAAGATCTATGTGAATATGAAAATGATATACATGTTATATGAACACATGGGAAATGTTATAAGATAAGTGACATATGAATATGAAATCATATGAACAGTGATATGTACATGTGAATATGTGACATGATAGCCTGCTAATGCCTATGTTATGTGTAAAGAGAGCTAGAGGTATAGTTGGGATGCCAAGAGTCGAGGGTCTACGCAGTCCTTCGGGACATACAGTGATCCTTCGGGATATTTCATAGTGGTCCTTTGGGACAAATTCATAGCCCCTAGTGGGACCCCATACGAGCTGTGGTGACATCATAGTGCACAACCTCAATAGACTCACATATCTACAGTTCTCACATGTATGCATGGGCTAAAATAAAGGATATAATATAAGAAAAATGCTATGTGATACTATATGTTTGTTTCGTAAAATGATATGTACGTATGTGAAAGTATGATAATAAGATGATAAAGTTATGAAGTGAGGGATGATATGTGCGCAGATGGATATGTATATGTGGGTGTGATGCTTGTACGTGATATGTTAGTAGAAATTGTTCAAGCATGATTACAAGTTAGAGTTTTATTATATGTTTTATACTTCACTAAGTCAACGACTTAGCGTGTGATTGTTTCACACGTAGGTATGAGAAACGAGAGTGGAATAGCGAGAAGCAAGACAGGTCAGTATTTTCCTTACGATGGTCAGATCAGAAATATATTGAATATATGTATTTTGTTTATAGGGTTAGTTGGCATGTAGCTACAATATTTGGATTGAATATGCTCTGATTGGTTTGTAAAACGATTTAATTATAATAATTTCTATAAAGTATTCATCTTTTTCAAATGATGAATTTAAGATTTTGGTGGATTTGTAAAGAAAAGAGTTTTGAAAAGTCAATGTGACACTTCGGACTCGGATACGGGTTGGGGGTGTTACACTAACCTTAACTTCTTCAATGTTCATCACCAAATTTTGCCCTGCAACTGTCATTTCCTTAAGAGTCTGCACACCAACCTCCAACATTATCCACATGAATTGACCCAAGCACATCCTTATCAACCTTACTATCAGAGGAACTTTGCCCAACATCTATCATTTCCATAAGTGCCTGTACTCCAACTTCAGCCAATGGCAACCCGGGAATAGCTTCAACTTTCCCATGATTCGAACTCCCCAACTCTGTCACCTTATCAGATGTAACTGGGGCCTTATTCTTAACTCGCCACTCCTTCTTCCCTTCAACGCCACCTATAGTGCAGATCTTATCAGAATGGCCAAAAGTCCTACACTTAGAACAACATGAAGGAAACCATGGAATAACCACCTTCACAGTGCCTATTGTCCCATCACGCAACTTAATTGCAATCGATCGAGGCAACCGTGCACCAGCTTACACTTCAACACACACCTTAACAAACTCCAGCCGTTCCTTAGAAGCCGTAATCGAATCCATATACAAATGAGCACCTAGGACACTAACTATGTAACTAAGCCCTTTCTTGGATAACAGTTCTAATAGAACATTGAACAACTTAACCCACACTGGCATCTTTTATAAATTAAAATCAAGTCGCTGCAGATTAGGCTCCCATTTCCTCAGCACCAACGGTTTGTGCTGAATATGCCAAGGACCATTTTCAAGATCCCAGTCTCGACTAGTTCCATTAGCAAAAGGAGAAAACATAGAGGTTAGATCTAGCAAGACTAACCTTAACCATCGATTTCCCCCCACATAATTTCCACTAGCTTCTGCAGAGAACCAAAATTGGGCGTCGACCCAATGAATTGTCCCACCAGTGATAACTTCCGCTCCGAAATCCCCTCCTTAAAGACATTATTCGGAGGAACCACCGTCGTGGAACCCTCACAACACTCCGGAGGAAAGAAATCAAACGATTGCTCATCTACACCATAAAACAAACTCCTATAATCCATAGCTCAAATCAATCGCCTAGAAGTCATCCCGAACGAATCAAACCAGCAAAACCCAGGAAAAAACCAAAAAACCCTAAAATAATAGACCTGCTATCGTGAGATAAAATGATTATTTCCCTAGAGAAAACAATTGTAACTATTTCTTATTCATTTTGATTTAACCATTTCTTATTATAACATAATATTTATTAATTTAAGGTAAGTATAACATAATATTTATTTAAAGATAACCCTCAACTATTTTATATTAAAACTCATACCTTAATATTTATATTTTATGATACTTGAATTCAAAACCTTAAAAAATAACAATAATTAATTTATCATTTAGGTAAATCAGTTCGTACTTATTTAGTATAATATTCAAACATTCGTGTAATTATATACACAATCAAAATTATTAAGGTTTTCGTCTTCGTCGTCGTTCGTTCCCCTTCCAAACCCTAGCAAGTAAAATTTTGTTTCTTTTTTTTTTTGCTCCAGAACTCTCTCGAACTTTCTGTGATCTACCGGTTCTGCCCTTTTACTATCTCCACTTCATCTCAACTTCCCTTCCTTTTCAACCTTGAGTCTGAGGGCTTAAGTCGAACAGAAGAGGAGAAAGGAGTTTGAAAACTGTGTGCTTGACTTTCTTGTGATCTGGAAAAGTACTTCAGTGCGAATCCATATTAGGGTATTCTTGATTTTTTTGTGCTTCTTGTTTTACGTAGTTGATTTTTTTAATGATAAATTATGAAGGTTTCTCCCTTAATTCCTTTTTGTTTCCAGAATTAGCAACTGTTCTGGTTCTTTGTTTTAATTTATCTACGAAAATTGTATATATGAGGATTCCGAGTAGAAAACTAGTTGAAAAGAAACTGTAGACAAAATTACTTATTTTTGTTGTTTTGGCGACCGTTAGTTTAGAATATTAGCTTATATACGAAATTGAAGAAGCATTGATTGGGATTCTTGCTTGTAGTAGTTAAAGCGAATTCAGATGCCCGAACTAAACATACTCTAAACCTCTTAATCAAAATAAATTTAGACCGTGTGGAGATAAAGTATCTCATAGTATATGAGATTAGTTTAGAATCTGTTTTTGAAATGGAATATGCTATTCAATTGGCTTCTTGAGAATTTAATACTATGGTCTTTTCATAAAATTTAAATTATTAAATTGGCTTCTTGAGAAATTAATACTATGGTCTTTTCATAAAATTTAAATATCAAATATAGTTTTCGTAGATGTAGGGCCGTTGCCTCCTATTAACTCCACCATGAAGCTCTGCTTAGAATTCTGCTTGAGGCAATGGGTGCTTTCTATGGCCCGATGTAAATATTTATCCAGATTTAGCACCCATTTCTTTTTATTCTGAAATGAGAGGGTTGCTTGGTTACATAGTTGGAGTTTATCGGTTTTATTTGACATATGGTGTGCTCAACTTTGCATTATGTGAACTGTTAAATTGTTGTAAATGAGGAGAGTTCTCAAGATGCTAGTTGTCCGCATTTGTTTTACCAAAAATTTGTGTATTTAAATAGGCTCCCAAAGGTAGCTTTCACCTGCATCCTTCTAGTTGGAAACAATATTTTTGCTGCAGCGAAACACTTTACCTTTCGGCACTAGTGATATCTTTCTTTTCAATATAAAGAAAATTGTAAGAAAGATAATGGCAAAAAATTTGCTGTATTTGAGAAATGGTAGACTTGATTTGAAAGTTGGTTAAGAGGTTTAAGTTGCTAACATGCAACAAAAGGGAACAAATTGGAAAGAAGTGTGCTTATCATAGGCATTATGAACTACAATTTTAAAATGTTAGAATTGGAGTTCTTACACTTTATGATGGACTTGAAAATGTCATGCTTAACTTATTGGAGTCTATTTGAATCTTTGTTTTCCTTCATATATGTTTTTCCCTCATGCTTATTGATGTTTTCCCTGAATTTGTCTACAAATTTTCAGTTTATGATAATTCACGTTTCGTGAATCGTTAACTAATGGATCATGAAGGCAAAAAATTTGGAAGAGGTACTGTAAGTTTAAAATGTTGCTTTATTATTGTATCCTGTTGTTCTCATCATCTTTGATCATTCGTATCTTGATGATCTTACCTATGTTTTTTTCCAAGTTTTAATTATCATTTTGTATTGCCTCACAACAACAGCTGATAAAAAAAAGGTAGACTAACAGCCATCCTTCCTTCTATGTGAAGAAGGAAACTGTAGGAAAGGAATTAAGAATATTGAATCTTGTAGTCGGTTGCTTCCTACATGTATACTTGTAAATGTTGTTGGTTAAAAGTATCATTGGTGCTAAGAATCAAGTGTGTTTTTCCTTGCCATATTGTTGTAATGCGGTACAGACGTGGAAACAATACAAAGGAAATTGAAATATTGAAAGAAAATCCAAATGGAGGCTGAAATTTATTTGAAATTATTGCTGTAACAATGAAAGTAGGGTAGAGGGTTGACCTCTAAGTATAATAAAGTTGTCTTTTGTATCTACAACTCTCTACCCTACTTTCATATGTTCATTACTTTAAGTACATTACTCAAATAATGCAAAACACATGATTCATGTTGCATCAGTTATATTTTCTCGCTGTTGAACTTTTATTGGAGTTGTTTTCGACTGATAAAAAACTGTTTATATGAATAAATTTAGGACCAAGGGAACTTAGTGGTGCTGTTGATCTTATAAGTCATTATAAGTTGTTGCCTCACCACGACTTCTTCTGCAAGAGATCTCTTCCTTTGACCATTTCAGACACACACTATCTTCATCATCTGGTGGGAGACACTGAAATTAGAAAAGGAGAAAGGATGCAGCTTGATCAGCTTATTCAGAATACATCTCATAACAGAGAAACTGATACCCACATACAGCCTTTTGACCTTGATATGCTTAAGGAGGCTTTCCTGCTGAGAGAAACCACTCCTGTTGAATTGCCAGCTGTAAGAAATTTACTGCATTGGGATTTTTTTTTATTTTCTTAAGCTAAATGGAAGTCCCAGACATGCCATTGTTTAGTAAATAACTAAGAATTTATCGGTCATACAGTGTGTACACTTCTTGTTGACAATCTTTTTCTTCAATAGTCATCACTTCAGTCAGATTTTTTAACCATTTACTTATTTGATAGAGTGAAAAAGGGATTCCTACTATTGCTGGGAAATCAAAGAGTGAAGCCAAAGATAAAGAGAGGAAGCACAAAAAGCAGAGAGACAGAGATAAGGTGAAGGATAAAGAGCATAAGAAGCACAAGCACCGTCATAAAGATAAAGATCGAAGTAAAGAGAAAGACAGAAAAAAGAAAGAGAGACGTGGGCATCATGATTCTGGTGCTGATCAATCAAAGAAGCACCATGAAAAGGTTGGAAGTTGTTTACTTATAGAGGTTATTGGTTATTAGATGTCTGGTCCTTAGTAAATTTGAAGGTTTGTTAAAGTCATGGCTATCATGCTGTTCCTAAGGACACAAAAATCAGTTAGCTAAGTTGTCTGGTTTTTTTCGGTAACAGCGCTCTTTTCTTTTAATCTATGGTTGAGACATTTTCTTTTGACCATTAAAAATAAACATTTTGATGGTGTCAGGAATAAAATTATACCTGTGTCCCTGTGCAAATCTGCTTGATCTTTTGGAAAGTTTATGAAAAAATTAAACCTCTTTTAAATTTTAGTTTTTAAATGGATTTCCATATAAATTCTTTTTGATTCATATGATTCAAAAAAGGAAGCATGATGGAGACGAAGATGTTAATGATGTTCGCAGACACAGAAGAAGTAAGGTAATGTACATTATTGTTGTTTCGCTCTGTTCTGTACATTATCGTTCTGTTGCTTTTATGGATTTATCTTTTACTTTTTTTGTTCTATTTACCATTAACTCTCAATTTCTTTCAACAGTGCCGTTATACATTGTCTTCTAACATGTTTTCTTCTCTCTGAGTCTCTAATCAAACTACATATCTAACTTGTTGCAGCACAAAAGCTCAAAACTTGATGAAGTAGGTGAAACTAGAGTAGCAGGTTAAGGTGTTGGCATTCTATAGCTCATTTGTTGTCTCAGGTGGTTGAAAGTGTGAAGGTGTATGCTTAATGTTCTGTCATTGCTTGAGGTGAATGCCCGAATGTTGTTCTTTTAATTATTTTTATTCTCATTTTTTCTGGCTCCTCATTGTTAAGCAATTAGGAAATTTATATGTGAATATAACCCAGATCTACAATGGTGTTCTTCGCTTCCCTATTGATCAAACACTGTGTTTTAAGGTACAAGAAGGATAATTATGAACACAAAATATTTCATTGTATTGGCAGAGGGTTAGAACTGTACCATTAGTTGTATAATGATTTTGGTACAATTTAGAAAATGTCAAAACATAAAGTTTCGATCATTTTTGCTTGTAGCTGAGCAACTGGGTTATTATAGAATGTAGTTATCCAACTATTTGTGGGGGTAAACCTATTAGTTTATAATGTTGTTTTGATGCTGGTTAGGTTCTCTCTCTTGTTTTTTTATTTTTGTGTGCAGGGGTAGCTTGTAAACTGAATAATGTGTAAAAGGCGATTCACCCATAGGTTGCTGAAATGGACTACTTTCTCCTTTTGTATCATATAACAATGAACTAATATAATTGGTGGTTATTTCTTCATCCTTTACTTAATAGTTTTGGTAACAAGTTGGATGGCTGTGTGTGCATGCATGTATACATGATATAATGGAACTTTTTGTTCATCAACTCCTTGCAACTATATGTACGAAGGAGCCTAGTTGAGCTCGAATATTGTTGAGCATAACTCGGCTCGAAAAACTTAAAGTCGAGCTTGACTAGATTCGAAAGTTTGCAAGTTTAAAATTATCAAGTTCGACTTGAATTCGAAATAAAAAATTGATGCTCGACTATATTTGAACTCAATATATTGTTTTTTTAGTTGTTTGCTAGTTTTTTTAAGCCGGATATCAAGTAGATGTTTTCCGTCTCATTTATGGCCTTATCTATATAACCGAAAGAGATTTTACTATCATCAGATGGGTAAAAATTGGGAATAGCTTCTATTTGCAAGTTGTCGAGCTCAAAAGTCATCTACTATCAAATCCAGAATTCAACTATCCTAATTTGTATTAACCAAGATGGGATAACGATCTGAAATGGATCGTATAAAGTGGTCCTCTCTATAATTTGGAAATACTGACCACCACCCATAGTTAGAGGTTCCTTAATTTACTCAAAGGCTAAAGCTTTGGTATTAATCGGATTTTACAGAAAGTTGCAATGATTAAAGTTGACAATACATGTATCTTCCTCAGTTTACTCGAGGGTCTGAAGCTCTAATCATGATTCTTAACAAGATCCTATAAAAAGCTTTATGTTTTCATTCGATTAAATTTAAAGTAAGATTCAAGTTATAAATCGATTCCACTAACTGAATTAAAACATAAATAATCAGATTATTATTTTTTCTCCAAGTGATTAAATCGTGCAATCCTTTTTCTTCAATATCATTTTGCTTTTCATATCATTTGCTTTATATTCGTGTCGGCCCAAACCATCATATGGTGGTTTGTTCCCATTTTGTTTGATTGCTGTGGGGACAAACAAATAAAGTGACTTTATTTATTGCTATCTTCTTCGGCAAGCATCCCATAAAGTCGTCAGCCTGCAAAAGCATCAAATGAAACAAACAAAATAAAAAATCTAAGAATTTAGGAAACAGAATTCTCAAACTCAGATACTATACACAGTCTATGTTTTCGATGCTGTAATCTCCTTTTCTTGGATACAACAAACTCTGCTGTCAATATTTGCATTTGCACCGACATCTTTTGAGGGGGGAAAAAACAAACAAGTCATTATAATGAACTCCAAGCAATCAACGAGTACGAGTCCTTCTTAGCCGACAGTCTTTTTTGTTCTTAATCACCTACTTACAAACCCTATACCCTATTCTATATTCGTGTATAAGTTTATTTCAAAATTGTCTTTCAATATGGTAAGGGTGTAAAAATTATTTAAACGCAAACGTATTATTTTAATTTTTTAATTATTATTATTTCAAAGAGTTTATGTAATAGTTTCAGTCATAATATATATTTTGAAAGGATTCAAGTTCGAACAAAATACGTATACAGAATTTATATATATATATTATTAATAGATTATGAAAATTTTAAAATATATGTTATTTTAAAATCACTCCAATCTAATTAATCAATATATTAATATATATTATTTTAGAATATTATAGCCTGAAAGGTGAGGGAGGTGCATGGTCTACGAACGTTAGAAAATCTAATTAATCGATGTTTTTCTTATGAGAAATGTTAATGTGACTTCGGTGATTAAAAAAGTTATATCTTTATCATTTTTTATTTTTGGTCCATCTTATATGATCACTGAATCCCTAATTTGTTAGATTAATGAGATGTAACACGTTATTAAAAACTTAAATTTTAATTTGATCTTTAAACTTTAGATAAAATATTAATTTAACCTTTAATTTTAGATAAAAATCTCAATTTAATCTTTAAACTTAGATAAAATTAATTTAACCTTCAACTTTAAATAAATACCTACCTGCGTCTTCAAACTTGTCCCAATCTTCATTCCAATCAGCCGCACCTTCTTAAATTCCAGGTTGCCATCCTTAGTATAAAAAATACACAAGACAATTTAGATAATAAAATCCTTTAAAAAAAGAACAAGACAATTTAGATAATAAAATCCTTTAAAAAAAGAACAGTCTAGTTACAAAAACAAAGCCAATTTAGATAATAAATTACTGAATTAAAAGTGAAAAATGAGAACCCTACAATTACTTTTACCCTGACATATATTTAGGTATAGTGGAAAATTTTTATAAAATTTTAAGAGGCATGCAAATTTATAAAATTTTAAGGGATACAAAATTAAATTATTAGTTAAAATACAAAAAAAAATATTTAAACTACATGAGAATTGAATTTTAGATCAAAATTAGATCGGTGATAGGTTTTAAGAGGCATGTAGGTATATCTAGGGAATTTTTATCTTTTTTTGTTCAAATCAGGGACGGAGCTACCTTATGCCCTGGGGTGTACTACCCCCAAATTTTTTATTATTAAAAAACTAAATGGGAAATATTAAGTTAGGGCTCCAATTTTAGTTTATTTTGATTTCTCTCATTTTCTATGGTTAGTTATACTTTGCCCCTCATTTTCTATGATTAATTATTTCCCCCCTCAAGTTGGAATCCTGTCTCCATCTAGTCCAAATTTATACTCGGTGAACCACATTCAATTTAAACCATAAATAAAGACATTAAAATGATATTTTCTCTAAACTTTAGAAGTTAAATAAATATTTTTATCTAAAATCAAGGGTTAAATTAGTTTTCCTAAAATTTAGGGATTACTAAATTAATCATGTCACTAATGTGACACGTCGTCAAACTAATACAAGCTACCAGTTCAGTAGTCAAAATAAGACATGATGGATATAAAAGTGATAGAATATAACTTTTTCAAAATTGATGATCAAATAAGATAGATGAAAAATAACAATGATCATACTTTTTTTTTCAAAATCAATGATTAAAAGACAAAAAAAAAAAGACTGCCCGTATATTTGCCCGTAAATTAATTCAATTGCTTTATTTGATTTGATCAATTTAATTAGTTGAATTATTGATTTAAAATAAATAAAAAATATATATATTTCAAAAATATTCACAACCAATTTTATAATCTTAATTTCTAATTTTTTAACAATTCACAATAATTTGCATAACTTTTTTTTTACCATACCAATTCAATCATTTAGACTACTTATTATTAATTAATTAATTCAACTGATTAATATAATCTAGGTCTATCATGTATAATTGCGTGCATATATTAGTGCAACGTTTCTATATTATTATTTTTGAGAAAAAAAGCGTTTCTATATTAAGTTGTTACGTAAGATTCGAATTCGAGACATGCTTAAGTATCTCGAGCTGTTTATCACGGCGTTTTCCTATATCACCTATACCCTCTATATTTCCCTGTCAGACACCATTCAAAGTATTTTTTCCGATCTAACACCCTTTGCAGTAAGGCGCGCCCCTGCAGCACGCTTTACGGTGATCTGGCACCACGTGGGGTAAGGCACATCCTGCAGCGCGCCTTATGCTGACATGGACACAGTGTCTAAAGCGCGGCCTCTGGGGCGTGCCTTACGTCACGTGGGGTATAGCGCGAGGTAGGGGCCGCACTTTGCGTAATTTACCCGAACTTCTCGGCTTTAAAGCATCCTCTCTCGGCTATAAATAGCCCTCTCCCTGTAAACTCTCACAATTCCTCTCAACCGAGAATCCGCTCTAACACCCTTTGCAGTAAGGCGCGCCCCCTGCAGCGCGCTTACGGTGATCTGCCCACGTGGGTAAGGCACATCCTGCAGCGCGCCTTATGCTGACATGGACACACTGTCTAAAGCGCGGCCTCTGGGGCGTGCCTTACGTCACGTGGGGCTATAGCGCGAGGTAGGGCCGCACTTTGCGTATTTACCCGAACTTCTCGGCTTTAAAGCATCCTCTCTCGGCTATAAATAGCCCTCTCCCTGTAACTCTCTCACAATTCCCTCTCAACCGAGAAATTAATACAACATCTTTCAACCAGTAAATACACCCAACAATCCTCTTATATTTGATTCAGAAGTTCGTTCGATTTTCGTTATAAGGTAATTTTATTATAATATTTTATTATACTTATTGTTTATTATGATTATTTGAAAAAAAATATATATATTGTTTTCAATTAATTTCTTTGCCAGTTCAAGGGGAAGCGGGAGCATATGTCAAAATATTTTTGCGGTACAGGTAATAATATAACATTATTTATTAAATTATTTACGTTTATGTGTAAAAATTTTATTGTGTTATATTTTTCGTTCATATATTATTATTTAAGCAGTTTGTTTCAGTTTTTTTTTTGCAGATAATATTGTCGCACTTTTAACTCTAAGAATGGGCCGATTTTCAGCTATTGTTTATTATGATGGAGAATTCGAGAAGTTGAAATCGGCGTTGTTTTCGTATCAAATGAGCGTGTTAAAATATCATTCAAGAGAAACATAACTCTTGAGGAGGTGATAACGAAGATTTCGAGAAAGGTTCATGTTGGAAGTAGTAGAAGAATGTCGTCGTTGTAGTACAAATTTCCAACATCATTGTTGCCATTAACTTATACAACGTTCGAACTATCGAACTATGATGATGTTGAAATGATGGCTGATTCTCAAAGTAATTATTTAGACGCCGATATTGATGTATGCAAAGTTTGTTCAGTGTGTGCTGTTCGGGTCAGTCATTAAGCTCCCACTATGGCTGAACAAGTTGATCAAGTTGATAGCCCAACTATAGTAATGTTAATGATTTAATGTCATAATGGAAATCCGCATCATGGTGTCGTCACATCAACTTCAATGGGGAGACATTCATCCGCAACTCTTTACGATATGTACCGAGGTGGGTCCATGAACAATCTGTATGGCAACATCGCTAGTGCAAGGGAAGACATTTATCTGTAAATTC